ACGGTGGCTAATTTACGTTTTCAACCCAGTTGTTAACACTAAATTACCTGAAAATCGTTGTGGTCGTTGTTAATAAAATCACGAGGGATCTGGACGCATACAAATTGCTGCATTTTCTTTATCGCTACTAAGCGTTGTTTGTGTTTAAAGGTGTCGCTGTCGTTGTTTTTGAAGTTGTCTTTGGCGATTTTTAATGTTCTTGTCATCGCCTATACTTTACCTCCGAACCAATGATTGGTGGTGGACGTGTTCACTGATGAACACCGAAACTCAGAGCTAACATTGTTCTTCCAATAGCCGCCGAAGTTGGCCTCGTTGTCAAGGAAACCCAGTGTCTTGCCGAACTGGCAAATATCCTTATCACTAAAGTGCGTCAGAAATTGAGTGTCTGTTTGCCACCAGCCAGCTGTGCATTTTGTACAGTTATGCCCTCGGATGTTGATGTATTCCACTTCTCGGCATCCCCCACTGACCTTGTATTTCATCGGATTTATTTTTTTAAAAGCGACCCTGACGTAATCTCTGTAATCGACACCATAAGATGGGAAATCGCATGTGACTCGCCAGTGGCTGGACTGCCCTTGCACAATATTCATTCGACTGTTGCCAATTCTGTAGTTTTCCCAGTTTGGATACTGCTGGTTTTTAAAAGGTCCTCGTAAGAATGAATCCTTCGCAAAAGCTTTGCTCCTACTGCTCAAGCTCTGTGACATGACTAGAGTCCAGGCCCAACCGGGTTCTGAACTGAAGTCGCAGTACATTTCGTAAAAGAGACACTCCGTCCTCCCCTGAATGAAGTAGTATCCCGATGTTCTTGCCCCTTGTTTCCAGGCCTCCCAGCAACTTTTGGGTCTCTGGAGAAGTCGTCAAGAGTAAAATGTAAGGCACTAGTCTATACTAATCGTCGGCGGGGCGAGAAGGGAGAGTAGGCGTATTTTCAAGGGGAACGGAGGTGGAGCAGTCGTCACCACCAGAGTATACAAGATGGACTGAAGAAATGTGAATACCAATTAACAGCCAAAGAGTGGGAGGGGGGGGGAGGAAGGGTCATAAGTTAGAGAGCCTTATGGGGGGATAAGGTAATTGTTTCAATCTCCTCCAATTGAGTTCTCATCTTGTAGGTCAGACAATAACATTAATTCTTCACTACAGTTCTTGCATAAGGGATTTCAGGGCTATCCTATGCATATACATTAAGATATTATAACCTCTTGTTTTTAGGTAGGAAAATGTAACCTGTGCCCGCGATCTCTCCTATCAGTCATCCTTGAAAATGACTTTAGGTTTCATCTGATACGCATGAAAAGGCTAAATATTTTTATGTGACTTTTATTCTAACTGAAGAAAATCTTTATTTTGCCAAAAGCGTGTATTGTTATAATCTAGCAAACTGTCAATCTTCCTCAATTTAATGAGGAAAATTAATGTTAATGGCCAAGAATGCGTTTAGAAAGGAAATTGAGAACAGAAATGAAAGGTTTTCTAGACTGGCTGACGTTTAGCTGACGTTGGAAACGTGCTGTGAATTCATTAGTGCTGGCCCTACTTTGATATGAATATTACATCAACCTGATCAGAATTTTGTACAATCTCAGTTTTTTCTTCATCCTTTAAAATTATTGACGATCTACTGGATTATTATCATTTTTGTCATTTACTTATTATTAAACTGAACTCGATGTTATCGCTTCAGTACAAAGCTACCTTATGGTTGAGTAATTTCTGATATCTTTTGGGGGTCTGAATATGGAATTTTTAGCAAACGTACGCTAAAATCACTCAGAAAACCTTCCTAAGATAACTCACCTGTTTCCATTTCACTTGAACGAAGACAAAGCCTTGTTTCTTTACCAAATGTCTTTTGCCACTAAATTCACCGTCATTAAGCTCGCAGATGCCTCGTCCAACCGCTGATGTTTGATAGTTATAGGATGTACACTTTAGACTGGCCAAGCACTCATGCCCACAACCAAAAATCCCCCGTGTTAGTAGCGATTTGTAAGAATGCCCGATTAAAACTTCGTTGTTATGCGTCATCCCATGGGATTCGCGGCAAAATTTTGTCGCTCTTGCATAAGTGCATAACTGTGTCAAAAGCAGAAACCTGCCGAGGAGCGCACCAGCCATGTTTTACAGTAACATTACTTGGCAAGATATCTTAATTGCCTTTCACTACGTAGCAGGAACCGATGCCAGTTTCTCTGGCTAAAGTAATTACAGCTTTCCCCTTTGATTGGCAATCTTTGACCTGCTGCGCATGTAACGGTTGTAAACTGTTGAACGCTTTCACCTGTCTCAGTAGACACAAGTGTCAGTATGGGTTCCAATCTATATGGAAATTTTCGATGAAATATGAAATATTGGTTCGGTCGGAGAATTTTCCAATGAACACTGTTACAGAGATAACAGTGAAGCTTGTAGTGCTATAGTTCTGTATCTTCAGTTCAAACTCTAATAATATACATGAAAAAATTACTCAGATCTGATTGGTTAAGATAAATGCAGTTTTCAGGTAATTCAACGCTTGAGGGTTAATTCAGTGCAAAGAAAGTAACTAACCAGACATTCTGAATAGACAATAATCAAAGAAACTCACTCATAGCTTATCAAATGCGAGCCTTGGATGTCGCGACATTTGGCTACGATGAAAATTTGCGAGAGAAACAATGGCCGGCGTTTTAAGTACTAAGGTTTTCTTTCGCTACCGCAAGAACAATACAGCAGCTGAAAACAGCTCTGATAACGAAACACTGTAAAAAGCACTGCTGTTTGGTTGTCGGTTTGGAAAAAGTGGTGTTTAGAGAAGGGAATTGCCAAGGAAATCAAAATTACGAGCCGATCCAGCTTAATACTTCGAGCGATTGCACGCCGAAATTAAAAACAAACATGGTTAAACCTCGCAAACGACGATTTCATTTCACCGAAATTGATTCGGACACAGACTGAACAATTCTTTGAACTGTTTAGCTGGACTTTGAACTTTTTTGCGCGTTATATATGTGAAAATATCATTGTATATTACTGTTTTGATCGTACGCGGTTGTTTTGACCAATTGTACAGGTTTGAATAAATTATTTTTGCACTTAATGCGCGCGCTTTGCTTCTGCACAATTATGATAAGCTATCTCGTATTTTTCCATGTATTTTATTAATACGTAATCACATGATTTTTCTCATGCGGTTTGGAATAAATAAGCACTTGTTAATTTTTCAAAGACCACAAATTTTTGTCAGTCTCTGAAAAAATTTACTCGTGCTTATTTATTCTAAATTGCACCCGAAATCATGTGATTACTCATACAAAACAAAGTTTGCCCAGAATTTCGTTATGTACTTTACAAATCCCTTTACATAAAGTTCATTTGTTGAGTTTTCTTTCGATTTTGACAGTTACAAAGGAGATACATGCTGTTTTTCCGGCTAATCCTTTAAATTTAATCCGGCCAGTAAAATAAATTGAAGCGGATAAATTGTTTAATGGGAGGGGTCCGCCCTCAAATTAAGGAATTTTCGTCAATGAGACACTCTTGAAAATGTTAAAATCTCTCAGACTGCTTTAGTTAAACCTTTTGTTTCTGAAAGGGAAACACAAAAACCTTCTAAGTCACAAGTACAAAATAGTTGATCGTCTTCGCGCAAGGAAGAGGTAAGGACATTGATGTTACATAACTGCATTCAATCTATTATATAAAAGTTCTGAATTCAAACTTCTGCGAAGCACCTGCCTGGAGTGTCTTTGTATCATGGTAATTCCATAGAAATACGTAGCAATGCGTACCCTTTCTGCACATAATCATCTTTTCCGCTGGATCCAAACAAAGCAGGCGCTTTTTCAAAATCGTGCCTTGTAATCTGGCAGGAGCTCATCGTCGAACTAAATCGGCGTCATTTAATCTTACAAAAGTGCTCAGTACTTTCCCTGCTCTCCCCTCTCCACTCACCTCTCGACCGCCATCTCCACCTCCCACCATGTCACTCATGGTGATGCGACAGAAATATATCAGTGACGAGGAAAAAACCCGGATAGTAGGAGTTGTGTCATAATTGTTAATGACCTGAATCAAACCTCGTATATCGCAACCGAAAAGAGTATGATTTATAAAACGGTCTAATTTCCTCACGATAGTTGTAAAATCAGCAATTCGAAATCACTTTACAGATCATTTCAAGCTCAAACAAACAATTAGGCTTAAATTTTTTTTTGTATGCGCAGTTTCTGAAACAGTCCTCATGGAACCCAGAAAAGATCACCCGGAAGAACGGTCATGCAAGCTGACGACAAGGAAACTCCTGTTTTCATCCACTTCACCAGGATCATGTGCATTTTTGTCAATTTGCCAAGTTAAAAAACAAATTCAGGACAGTACATCTTTTTCAGAAGAATAACCGTAACCGATGGCTTTGTAAAATTGAAATATTTCCTCCTTGAGAAAGCTGTAACAACTATTATTTCGTGTGATGTTTACGCCTTCGATTGATCTTAACACTCAATGACATTTGGTTCTGTTCAGTTTTGGTATACATGATGTTTTAAGATACCTTTGTCAGCTTAGTTCTTATCAAAACAATGAAATCAGTACGTTGCATGAACATGAACGCGGACATCTTCTTGTAACAATAATTTGGGGCGGGAATGTGAAGAGATAATCTTGATTTTCCCAAATATAGCTATCGGTTTAATACATAAATTTGTGTTATCGATTTTTGAGCACATTAAACGAGTAACAGAGACCCAAACTAACGTACGGAAATAAACGTAGAAACATTTGTTTCTCTTGAAAATTCAAAAAATTTTTTGCTTTTTGATGAAAAGCAAGTTAGAGTATATAATGTTTTTTACCTTCAATAACGGGTTTACTTCAATCAAGTTTGACTACAGCTGATTACATATACCTGATTTTATCAATCGTTTCTGAAAGTTTATTCCGTCTGCAATGATTGTTATAAAAATAAGCAAGCTTCGTCACTGCATTGCGATAACTATAAGTTTTATTGTTGGGGCATACTTGAAAAAACTACTTAATATTTTAAGCAAATGTTGAATTTTTTTTACCCATTTCTTTAAAATCAGGCAAACTGAACGCAGCTTGAAGTTGGTACTCCATGCCTGAGATGATAATTTCTGGCGAGTGGAGACTATTGATGCCCCGTTATTGAACTCATACATCAAAGGAACATTGTATTCATAATAAATTCAAACTATAAACTAATCAAAACGAAATTTGATTCAATTTTGACCCCGGTCGTTTCGGTATGCTTCCGCGCACGCAAAAAAAATTAAGAGGATATTCAAAGAAATTCCTTCAAAACCTATCACCTAATTTGCGCATTGTCGAAAGATAGGCAATACCTACCTTTTGGTAATTCCTTCGAGCACAAATCAAAAAAATTAAATCAAATCCACTGCCGTACCCTGCTATTCACACTGATCTTATTCTCTTACAATTTCATAGTATTTTTGAGTACCCAAAGTGAAACGATCATTCTTATTTAAGCCCGCCAATATGCCACTTAAATAGCCCATGTTTTATCATCACCGAGAAATCATTGTTTTGCATTTAACTTCCTTACACTAAAGTCCACTGTAAACAGCTGACCGTGGCTTCCTTAAATCCGGCTCTGGACAAAACTTGACTGTGTTTGCTTTATCGTTTAAACAGGAAATGAAGGCGTCATCTAATGTCATATGCACCCAACCGGCTGATTGTCAATTCTACCATCCGTTTGCCACGTTTTTCAAAGCTTGAGGACAGAAAATGACGATGAGATATAGTTCACTGTGTTTTCGTTCTCACTGAAGATATCACTAACATTTAAAAAAAAATTGGTTTAACATCTCACCAAACAAGGACCACCAAAACGAGACCAAATACGTAAGAACATCTTACTTCTTGCTTTTTCTTTTATCGCGTTTTTCCCCTTTATACCTCTGGATGTTTTGAAATAACACGGATTCTATGAAATTATCAGATGATGTTTTCATTCTTAATTAGTGCTAGCTAAATGTGAACCGCTTAAACTGGCAGACGTTTTAAAGAAGTAAGGCTTACTGGCTTACAGCGGCCTTCTCAGTTTTGAATACCCTTCTCCTAAGATTTCTCGCTTTCTCCACGAGAAAGCGTTTCATTTTCGCCCAATTTTTAATCACATATGGAGTGAGCACCTGTGGTTTTATTCAAAGTGATTTTTCATGGAAATTTATTCATCAATTATCTCAAGTTTGAAAACGCATTTAATCTACTAATCTGCGAATACTCTCTTTTGATTTCTGCTCTTCCAAGCTGAAACGTGTGATCAATGTTTGGTCTTATCATTGCACTGTGAAGCTACTTTTGACAGGAATAATCGAAAAGATCAACAACAACGCATTCATCACTCGGTTTTGCCTTGTTCACGCAAAAAAAAACCCGGAAAAATTGGTATCAACGGATAGTCGGCCATGACTGAAGAGAAGATTGGTAAGCTACGATCGCTTATCATTTCAGTTAACCCTCTTCTTACCACAATGAATCAATCAATAGAAGTCATTTAATTTTTTTTCCTTCAAAAAAAAAAAAAAGACAAACTCTAACCACAGCAGAAAACCAGAGGCGGAAACCAAAGTGGCCAATTCTAATTCCTCGTCTTCAAAATAAAGTTCTTCGTTAAAGACACAGAAGGAAAGCTTTAAGTTATCCTTCTAATGAACTTGAACTCTCTACATGGCAAATACT